CCCCCTCCCAACACTGTGGTCAGGTGCTGAGCTCTTACCTGGTGGGTGGGCAGGTCACTCCCCCTCCCGATGCCACAGTCAGATGCTGTGCTCTGGTTAGGTAGTTGGGCAGATCACGCCCCCTCCCATCACCTTGGTCAGGTGCTATGGGCTCCTGCCAGGAAGGTGGCTGGCCGCCCACCCTCTCCCAGCTGGTCGCCCCTGCTCTGTGCAGCTGCCCACTCCACCTTGGGTTGGCCCTCCGTAGGCGGGCTCAGGGAAGATGGCGGAACAGCCCTACCCCTGCACCATGCAAAAACTCAGCTCCTTGTTTGTTTTGACAGTGCAAGTTCTCTGAGGTACCAGGGCAGAAAGATCCTATTTGCCTCGGGCTGTAAGCAAGTGTCTATCTGGCCTTTGAGGCTGCTAAGCCCTTAGGTAGGGATTCAGCTTTTGACCACACCCCCGCCTGGGTGCTAAGTGCTGGAGGATATGGCGGCTGTGCCTGAGCCCTGCCTCTCTTCTCCTGAAAACCTTTCACGGGTTTTTGGAAATGGGGGTATGGCACCTTTTCCCCCAGGGCACATCAGCCATGTTGTTTTATGGGGGGCCCAGGTTGTTCGCCCTGTGTACCCACTCATCCATGGCACTTAGCACCCTGCAGTCCCCCATGGCTGCCTCAACGTAGCTGCCCTAGTCCTCCGCCCGGCTGGGGCGGCCTGTCTTGTCCCCCACCTGCCACTTTACCTCTAGGGCTGGAAATTGCAGAGACCCTCTGTGCCTGTTTAACTTGGTTCTGTCAGTCAAGGGGTGCTCTGTACAGATCTGAGACTTGGAGGCTCCCCCTCCATCCTGCTGGCCTCTCTGTTGGAGAGGGGGAGACCCAGCGAATGAGTGCTATTACTCCTTTGTTGCTCCCTCCCCGCGGGACTGATCCTGCTTTGTTTTGCTTTTTCTTCTTTCTTTTTTCCTTTTCTCCTACCAGATTCTTGGCGTCTTTGTCTTTTGAAGAGGACGATGTTCAGCCGGAGTTCAGCAGGTGTCCTGGTTGGCTGGGTGTGTCCGTAGATGTGAGTTTTGGTGTATTTGTGGGAGAGGA